TGAACTCTTACATCATGCTTCCAAGTTAAAATATAAAAGAATCAACTATATGTATACAACAAAAATCTCTTACCTTATGGAGTACCCCCTTGAATCCAAGCTTTCTACTCCTACTTTTACGCCAGAGTGTGGTTAAATAATCCATAGCAATGCCCTTCTGATGGTTTCATATCACAGGGGGTACTCTTTCTCCCTCTATAAATCTTTTTCCTGCCTTTTATTTTCTTTCTCTCCCCTTTTCATTTGAGTGTGTAAGTGACAGAGTGTCCCCTGGTTGTTATGAGTAATTCGTAACAAAATGCGACGAGGGAGACTCTGTAACCGCTTATCCTATACAGCACACAACCCTAGATACCTGTCCACAAGGGGAGAATGGCATTGTGCCAGTGACTAATCCCTACTCCCTAGTAGGATTTTTGTGATTTTTGTGTAAAAAAAAAAAGAGGTATAACCACAAAAATGAACTTAAAAACATGCCTTTCAACTGAGTCGTATAAGTACCCTCTAATTAAACCTTGAACATCTACTTGCTAGTCTTGACACAGCCGACACAAATTGTTTTTAGAATAATCATGGGTACAATACTGGACAAACAATTTATACAAGATCCCCTTGCCCTACCATAGCAACCTGCTTGTATAAAATACAAAATATTTGAAAGATTTAAGCATAATTAATGATCAGGAGGAAATATACAACATCAAATCACCTTTAAAATTATAATCTACTTTCACAATCAATCTATCATCTAAGCAAAGGGTATCGACAGCAGCTATGTTTTAAGTTGATGATTATGTTGTCTATCAGTACAAATATGAATTACACTTCAGGTATGCTACTCATGATCCTATGCAAACAGGCTGTGGTTTAGACATGATTGGTCTTAATACTTCACTGTGTTTATAGAAGGGGAGTCTTTAGTCATTGATAATGTTTGTTCCTTTGTCTGGTATGATACATGTACATTACCACAGGTATCTAAACAACAAGGTAATAGAATCATATTTATATATTTTTAAATGCCTACAAATCATAAATGTTTACACAAACTTGTTTCTACCATTGGATGACTCATTAACTTTTTAGGATATAATTGTTCATGTAAACCACGGTCAAAACGTAAGGCAAAAACAAAAATGCAGTCAAACCCAATTATACAATAGCCTTTCAGGGATTTCAATAATGCATGTTGTATAATATCTGTTGATCTTCTTGGAAACTTGTTCAACGTTCTACATTTACAAACACTTTAAGTGCCGTCTGCGCCAAGCTATAAATGGAAGACGAAATCAATCGCGAGTTCAAATTCTGGTGAGGCTGTATATTTTCCCACTGGACGATTCTCTATTCTCTTTGACTTAACTGTGCCTCTAGCATTACAACCCTTCTATACTCCTTCGCTTTCCAATCCACAGCATCACTTTGCATGCAACCGACACCACCTGAAGAAAATGCAATTCTTTCAAATCTCTGAAACGCATCATTATTAAGGCAAATCTGCATAAGATCTGCTTTCCTTTTCTTTCATTGTTTTTGGATGTGTCAGAAAAAATTGGTCGCCACCCACGGGTATGTCAGCGATAGCTACAGAACATTACTGAGTTACGTGCTGTTTGCCTCAAAGGGCTCGCTAAGGTGCCATCCTGGTAAAGGCTTGATGATAATATGAAACAACTTCTCTCAACAGCAACATCTGTGTTGTAAATTCAGCTTTCCTTTGTATACAAGAAGAAGATTTGCATTTAAATGAATAGTATGATGATGAGTGTACGATAAATGGGGCATCAAGATTATTTATCTGTTTCATGTGAAAGATTAATTTATATTATTGTGAAAAGGGTTGTCATGGGCTGATCAAGACTGCATGGGAATGGGTCATTTTGCAAAGCCATTGTGTAGTACAAAGCAATCCTTTCATCAATTGGTGTCTATTTTTGTGCAAAATTGCACATTTGGCAAACAACCAAGCAACTGTGCACAGAGGCGAAGGAAGCAATCAAAGTGTTAAGATTTTTTTTCCCCCTTTTTTTTTTCTTTTTTAACCACAGTTGTCAAAATTTCTGACAAATTTCTAATTTGTGGGTGCATGACTGAGGGAAAAAGATTATACTAAATGTCATCAAATCGTCCGTTTTCACGAAGTGACAGGAGTGAGGAAAATCGTCATGCAAAGTTAATGCAATTTTTTTTTCACTATTGTCACTTCGTGAAAACAGCGACGAAATGTCATAGCATTGGGTATTCAAAGGTCTTTGCATCAAAGTTTATAATTTTAGTACCGCCAGTTAATCCTTCGTAAGAACTGCCAATGCTCTTTAAACCACTTCATGGATTGCTTTTGAAATCGGGTAGATGTTTTTTTTTTGTCTCCTTCAATGTTTGGCGAGCTTACAGGCAGTGATTTGATTAGATGGATCACACTGCAGAACACATGTCCAAACATGTGTGTTTGCAGAGTAAATACTCATCCTTTGTATCTACACTCGCTCACTACATGTACTTTTAGTTGGTGTTGTTCCATTAAAAATTAGCTATAATAACATTTTATGAGGGACTGGGGGAATAGGCATGGATTTCAGAGAACTTTCAATCTTCATTCATTTGAGAAAACCTAAAATCTGATTGCTCTTCTATAGACAAATTGAAGTAAATGGAAAATTGGTTTGCAATTTTTATGTAGGCCTATAAATAGTGGGAGCATTGAACAATCATATTACCGGTATAGTGCTTTTTTATTCTTTAGGGGTTGCGGTTAATTCTTACTAATCTCCCGTTCAGTGTTAATGCCTATCATGATGCATTATTGAATGAGAAAAACAGAGGACAAGGTATAGTTTAAATTTCAGAGGGTTGAATCGCTGTCTGAATGTTGTATCGTACAAGTATTGTACACAACCATGCTCTCCCTAGATTACATTTCTTTATAGATGTACATAAATGTATACGATGCTTGCGTACAGTACATCCTATTACAGAAAAAGTGTGGCAGGGAGATTATTTGTGTGGCATATAAAGAATAAATGCAGTATGAAGCCTGGCACTTTGTATTCTTGACTTAAAACCTAAATTGTATCTATAACATGCAAAAAGAGAGAAAATGAGGTAGGAAGACAGAAACCAAGAGGTAGAAGGGAGAGGGATGAGATACAGGGAGGAAAAGAAGTGGAGGGCACATAAGACATCATATTGAAGGATGGAATAAAATAGAAGGAAGAAGGAAAGAACAAGAGAGATGTCGAGGAGGGAGAGAATGAGATGGAGGGAGATGGTGGAAAACAAAAAGAGGGCAAGATGAAAAAGGATGGAAGGAAAGAGGAAGTGAGGAAGCAGGATGTGAAGAAAATAAAAGACAAAAAGATCGATGCAAAGGAAAAGATGGTGAGTGGTTGCAGAGAAAGCTTTATTTACACCACAAGAGCAGCACTGCAGAGAAGCAGGTCATGGCTATCAGACTCATTCCTCGATCAATTGAGGAGAAAATCAGAGGGAAATATGCAGTCGGTGGAGAATGAGAATGCACTCATGCTGGTCACCTGCCATGCAAAAGTAATGTGCATTTGAGATGATATTACTATGCACCATTGGATCTCAATACCTCTAAAAGGTACTTCAATATTAAGAACCATTAGAAAAAGTTGTATGTGTATTACAATATTTTCACCCGAGGTACGGGGGGGGGGGGGGGGGGGGGGGGGGTTGCTACCAGAGCATGAATTTTTCAAATGAGGAAAGACTTCAAATGGTGCATAAATGTAAGCCATGTGCAAATTTTACTTTGCATGTTTAATTTCATAAATGTAAATGCTCAACTTACAGTGTACACCAAGTATCACAGATACACGCATTATCACCTAAATTATCAGGATCAATAAATGATTAAAATGGCCCTTCCGTGGGAAACTAAATATATTTATAAATTAATTAATTTTGCATTCACTCTGGAGCATAACAGAACGTGGGAAAAGTTCAATGTTATAATTCACAAAGTCATACATACATCCAGGAGGTGTGAGCCAAATTTTATGGCAATTCAATACCTCACACTGGGCTTCACACCCTAAAACCAAAGTACAAAGTTTGGAAGTCTGTTTTCATTACAAGCATTATTTGGATTACAATATTTATTTGACCTTGTCTAGCATTCAGTATTTACATTTCACATGAGCCATATATTTTTATTTCAATCATACAAACCGAGTAGAAAGTCTGTTTACTTGAAAATGAAACTAAAAAGCACTGCTGTTCATATCATACAAGGTACATGTTGCCTAGCACAAATGAGTGACAAATGTTACAATTAGTCACAATTCCTATCACATTATCAATGCCTGGGTAGGTAATTATAATACATTAGTGCAGCTTTCATGGACAGTGCAATTGAAATATAGTTCACTTTCAAACTGTTATGTACAGTGTAGGCATTGTTATCTTTAGCTGTCTAATCTGAAGGATTGGTGCCTACCCGACCCCCCCCCCCCTAAACAAAAAAATAATCATAAGCTAGGCTTATATTCACATCAATTTTCTTATTACTGCATTCAAAGTTATTCTTTGTTCAAATTAGGTGAGAATTATAAAAGTAATAAAGGATTCCCATGCCAAAGGCATGACGTCAAAGTCCTAATACTGAGGTTAATTAGACAGCATTGGGTGGAGGGGAGATAACAAAGTAAATTGAATTTGGTCTCAACAAAGATACAAATTGCTATTGCCTTTCAATAAGGAAAGAAAATTGTCTGCTGCTAATGGTAATAATAATATTGTGGTATTCATTTCACGGTATAGGGCTGTATAATACGCATTTCTGAAGTTCTAAAACAAATATAATACTACAGCTTATACTACTATTTTCTTGTGAAAAAAAACTTTTTTTGTAAAGACAATATGTGGATTCTGAATCTTCAATACACAAATATCTGAAAATGTCAATGGATTTTTTTTGTGGAAATTGAACCAAGTTTGCCCAAAGAGGCATTATATGTGTAAAAAGAGTCACTTACCACAATGTTGATATGACATGGGGCTCGAGCCCGCGGTCGCCGCTGGACCAAAGACATGACGACATCACATTCCAAATCGGACATCATCTTGTTCAAAATTCAATTGTACTGAAGTCGAAACATAAAAAAGCCCTGAAGCACTGTCTCTCTTTTCGAGTCAATAAAATTGCGTGTTCCTGGCCTTCCCTCAAATGAGATGGATTTAAGAGATGCACAAGAGATGACATGTTTTGTCCTTCTGTCTCAAAGTCAGCAGGATGCAATGCATGAAACACATGGTACGATGCGAGCTAGCTTCACCGTCGACGTCCATGAAATACCAGAGATCCTCAGAATATGATGCACACACAATACACACACACACACATGCAGATATCCTCTCCTCCTATTCCAGAGATGACACTTGGCAGGCAGGCTGATGGAAGGGGCGTCGAGTCCCTTCCCAATGGACTAACCACCTTCTGGCAGAGTAGAGCAGACTGACGTCATAAAGACATAAAAAGAATATTTCTCCTACAGCTGCTCATTTACATGAAGAATAGAAGAAACAAGAAGACAGCCAGCTAGGATCCACGCCTACGTGTTCTTTGATTACTGTCAAAGGATGCCCCTCATGGACACTAGGTCACCACAAGACGATGGAGCTGTGCCCACTTTGTGGGGTTCCATCTTGTTTTGGAGGCAGCAGAGGTGAACTCATTAGTTTGGATGACGCAAGCCTTTCGCCCAAGACGACAAACTTAGAGAAGATTTTGCATTTAAGCCACCAGTTTAACTCCGTTGCAAAAATGACGATGACAATTGTATTTTTTTAAATATCAAAACAGAGACTGGCAAAACTTTCAAACTTCACTCTCCAAAAGTGTAATGCGAACTGGCAAACTGTCCTCAAAATTCAATTTTGATTCAAACGTATCTTGTCGCAATAACATGATGTAACCTAAAACCACGGACAGTAAACCACACTGATACCATAACAGCTAGTGAGCCTCTAATGCATTCCCAGTACACATGAAAACAAAGTCATCTCAGCTCAGGAACACTAGACCTGGCTGCAGTCAAGGTTAACGAATATCCTGTTCTCAGCAGGGCCAGGGTCCCAGACAGAATGAAAACCCACTGCTAGCTAGCAACTACCAGCTGATAGATGTAACCTAAAACCTATACAACCTACTCCCACTCAACATGCATGCAGTCTGTAAACCGATTGACTGACATCAGTCAGTCAGTCACCCATTCAATCCACTGTGTGTTCATGCCAGTCCTCCACAGAACATAATAAGGATAACTGACACTCTACACCACCGCCGCTGCACTGCCACCGTCGTACACCAGCAGACTGCCTCACTCACTGCTCAGCATCGCAGAGAATGGAAGTGAACTTTTAAAGCTAATGTACATGCACCGGTTCTTTCCTAATCACATCCTTAGAATGGGTTTCCTCATATCAGCCTTCTATCTCTCTGCTAATGTGTGCTTTGTGGCTTGATGTGTAATGAGATAATGGGTCTGATTACCCTATTACATCACACATACAACTTAATTCATGGCCACGGTGCTGACAAGCTTGTTTTGAGCCCTGCTAAAACCCCTCACTGTTTTGTGCTAATTGGGTTTCATTCAACCAAATTCATGACCTAGTTTTCTCTCCCATTTACCATTTACATTTAAAGATTTCATAAATAGGAAGAATTTGGCTGTGGTCGTGGTAATTTACTAAGCAATGGATTCCTGCCTTTAATTATTGTTCCTGCCTTTAATTATTGTTACTACCTTGCACAAATAATTGAAGCACTAAATCATAAAAATTATGCTCACAAAAAGCATAGACCCACTTTGACTGACCCTAGTCGCCTTACATGTACACAAGTACAGGTATCTGTGATGCCTTACTAGCACTTCATAAATTTGGGGTGAAACTTTACTGATGTATTAAAATATAATAACAAAAACGAAAAACACAACAAAACAAACAAAATTTAAACCCATCAAAACTGTTTTTTCTCAGTTTTTTCTTTAATAAGCATTCAGGATACCAAATTATTTCTTAATTTTCAAGAGTGCAAATCAGTTTACTGTCAAATTTAATTTGAATAATTTCATTCAAATCACTTTTATCAGGGACAGGTGGTATACTTGACATTCACAATAGCCTCCTCGTACATATGCACTGTCCATCCAAAACCTGGCAGAGCAGAGAAACAGTGCAATGGCCTCTGGTCATACTCAAAGTCACAATGCCCCCATTTCCTGCGAAAACAAGCGACCAATTACGAAGAAATCAGCCCGTAGGAATAACAAATTAACACCACTGCAACACAACCATGCCAATTCATTACATATGCCTAATTACTGAACTAATGCTTCATACACCTTCTAAAATATCATCAGTTTCAGAGTCAAAGGGGCATTGACACATACATTGAAACAGACTTAAGTCCCTTCTTGCTCTGAGACAGGGACTCTTTTGGAGATGATAGTACGTCAGATGTGTGAACAATAACGCAATAAAGCTAAGAACAGAATAAAGATCAATTTTCAGAAGATCCATGATGCATGAATAGGCTAGAAGACTACACACCCATTGTACCTGTACAATCAATATTCAACATTGAGATAACCGTTGTAAAAAAAACATTGCTGCGTTGAACGTCAGTGGCTAGAAAACTATACCCATTGTATGTGTACAATCAATACTCAACATTACGATAACCAATGTAAAAAACTTTGCTGTGTTGAACACTGCTCAACAGTATGACCAGCTAGCAGGGTCACTGTGTGAACGCGGTATTGTTAGATAATTGTCTCTAATTAATTGTCCAGAAAAATACTGACCAGTGGCACTTGTGGCGTTAGCTGGTTGCTAATGACAATGATGACCTCATGATCTGTTTCTGTTCTGTTCCACTAAGGACAGTTATTATCATTACACAGAACAGGGTGATTTTCATCACCAGAAACTCAACTTTAATGACCTCAGGGTGTGTTTCATTAATTTTAATTTTTGAGAATACCATTATTTGTATTAGACATAAGGGGTGATTTTCATCAGAAGTAGGGCATGGTTCATGACTTACATCATCACTTGTTTTTCCTTTTTTGTGTTTCTTGTTCGAGAAAACCAACATCTTATTTTTTTTTAAACAGGAAGCATGATTTTTATGATAAGAAGCACAACCATGTCTTCAAAAAAACATAATTCAGACAAGAGAATGCATGGATAACACATCTATTAAACATGGCAAAACATAGTAATAAATACAGATGAGATTTCATTTGTCAAGGGTCTTTTCAGAAACTAATTTAAAAGTTGAAGTGAACCTTTTAAATGTAATATCTTCAGGATATTTTTCTTGATGTGGACTTGAAAATGATAGAGAGGATTATAGAAAGATACTTATCTCCTACTTACAAGAAAATGAAGATGAAAGTAAGAAATAATTATCAAGACGGAAGTATATGGCAAGATGGATGAACATAAAAAATGTACTTCAATAGAAGACAGCATTAAACATTGCTAATACAATCCTCGCTAAAGGATATAAGGTTTCCGGCTGGCTAAAAGGGGCATATTTCTAATTTCTTGTGGAAAGAAAAGATCAATATTCGCTTTGTGCACAGGATCAATGCAGAACTGAACATGAATAAACATTTAGCCTTGACTCCAGGAGTCTAGGCTTTGCGTATAAAGAGAAGTATTACATAAAAGAGGGACTCGTACAGTAAGCCTATTCACAAGATGTACTTGCTGCTTCAGCTGTAAGGCTTTTCATGGGTTAAGAACCCTTTCCGCCTTACTTTTTCTTTTGACTGCAGATCGTGCACAGCCGGATATATAACTTCCTCCATCTCCTTCGTATGTCTTTATTATGCAGATATAATTTTCTGCAGTCTGTCTATCACCTTAACAAAGACCGGACTATCACATCCCCTTCTCTCTCACTGTTTCTTCCTTTCTTTCTCTTTCTCTTTCTCTTTCTCTTTTTCTTTCTCTTTCTCTTTCTCTTTCTCTTTCCCTCTCTCTCTCTCTCTCTCTCTCTCTCTCTTATTTCTCTCTCTCTCTCTCTCTTTTCCCTTTCTATTTCTCTTTCTCTCTCTTTCTTTCTCTATCTTTCATTTCTCTTTCTCTCTCTTTCTCTCTCTTTCTCTCTTCCTCTTCCTCTTCAAATAAAGGGAAACCCATCCACCAATTGAACATATAGTTGTGTTTTTAAAAGGAGATAAATATATCAAAGGTGGTGAGAAATATGATATAGGGAAAAAAGGGTTATACAAATATTAAATTATCAGTCCTGAAATTCCTCTTGTACACAAAGAATAAGAATTTAAACAAACATTTTCTTCTAAGGATATATTTTATAACACATGTGTCCAAAATATATTTACTGGACTAGCTTTCAAACAACAACCAAACAATGATATAGGGAAAAGAAGGTTATACAATAATTAAGTTGTCAGTCCTGCGATTCCTCTTGTACACAAAGAATAAGAATTTAAACAAAATTTTCTTCTAAGGATATATTTTATCACAATGTGTCCAAAATATATTTACTGGACTAGCTTTCAAACAACAACCAACCACTATAAAAGATCAAAACTCTGCATAAATTCTTTGGCAAAAATAGTGTTCAAGAATAGTGGCAAGCATCTTGTATCATCGTACGATCACTCACACTCACCTTCTCCACTTATTGCCACATGAGGGCAGTCTTCATTTATATTTCATGATTCGATTGAGGCAGCGTCTACATACAGGTGTATGCTAATTTTCAGTTGTTCAGAGCAGTACTATGTAAATGTTTCTTTCTTATTGATAGAGGGCAGCATATCAATTGAAATCTAGACAAACAGAGAGTTCATCATATCGTATATTCCCTTGAGAAGAGGCAAATACAGTGAATGAATCAAGACAAGTGTTTCAGGAGTCCTCATCTCCTTATGTCCTTAAGTACACACTTCTAAGCGATCACCGACCAGAAAACTGTAGTATGCTACAATCATAAAGAGACACAATACATATGAACAAATCAGATCTAGATCAAATCTAGCAAAGTAATAAGGCTTTAATAAGTGTGAATAACAGAATGATAAAGACATATCATTTCCCATAAAGTTTTTTAAAAAATGTAATAGTGTTTGATAGTATCTAATGTACAGTACATGTACATGTACACAAAACAGGAAGTG